CTTTCTGAGACTTGGTCACCTCAGTCTTAAGATTATACCCTCCAAGATCCATCAAATTTTCTGAAAATTTAATAATTTCAGTTTTTTTTTTTTTTTTTTACAACTGAAGGGCTCGCAGGCAGTCATCTCACTGATGAGTCTGAAGAAACAAAATCACATACCTCCTTTAATTTGGGGGTTGATATCTAAGCTTTATAAAATAAGTTTAAACAGTAGTATGAGATATAAATTACGGAATATGGTATACACACACTTAAAATAAAACCCTTCAATTCCTCATTTAAATATTTCTAAGGGAATCAGAATGCCATAGTTATTTGTTATGTATAACCAACCACATGTTTAAAAATAAACGGTTTAACTCCTTCTGAAGGGCAAAAAGTTTCCATGACCCTTCTCTGTGAATTCTTATTTTCATTACACATAACCACAACATTTATTACATTTAGAGGCTCTTTTTTTGATTACCTTGTCATTTGTTATGACAAACTATGAACTAAAATTTAAGTTTTACTCCCTGTAATCATAAGGTAATGTTCAAATTATTCAAGTAATGTGAAACTGTTAAAAATGCATATATTGTACAAATTTTGATAGTTACTAGACATAAAAATTATATTTTTATTGAAAATGCATTTCTTAAAGATATAAATGGGTCTTTTAGTCCAACTAGTTATTATATTCATTGATGAATACTGAATAATATTCAGGAAGAGGAATCAGCATCAATTATATTTTCATTTTAATAAAAGTAAATGCTAAGAAATAGTTTTTATATCTGTAAGATAGTTTTATAATGCTATTGTCAATTCATTCAGAGTTCTGTGTCAAATTGTCATATAATAAATTTTTCATAAAATAAAATTTTCAACACTCTGTCATCTGATAACAAAGGTGAAGTATTAGAAACCATGCGTTTTTTATTACTATAGCTCTGTAGTAGAGCTTGAGAGCAGGGGTGGTGATGCCACTGGAAGTTCTTTTATTGTACAGGATGGTTTTAGCTATCTTGTGTTTTTTTGTTTTTTCCATATGAAGCTGAGCATTGCTTTTTTAAGATCTATAAAAAACTGTGTGGGGAGCTGGGAGTTGGTGGCACACACCTTTAATCCCATCACTCGGGAGACAGAGGCAGAGGCAGGTGGATCTCTGTGAGTTCAAGGCCAGCCTGGTCTACAGAGTGAGCTCCAGGACAGCCTCCAAAGCAATACAGAGAAACCCTGTCTCAAAACAAAACAAAAAAAGTGTGGGAATTCTGATGAGGATTTCATTGAATCTGTAGATTGCTTTTCATAGAATGGCCATTTTTATTAATCTTACCGATCCATGAACATGGGAGCTCTTTCCATCTTCTGATTGGGAGGAGTGGAGGGAGGGGATACTGTGGTTGGAATGTATCATATGAGAGAAGAATTTTTAAAAGATTTGGAAACCATCTGACTTAGAAAAGATTTGCTGAGGCTAAGGAGGATGACTCAGTGCCATGCAGACATGAGAACCTGGGTTTAATATCCAACACCCAAATGAAAGTCACAATGCTGTGTGCTAGAAATGGGGAGATCAAAACAGAAGAATCTCTGGACCTTGTTGTCCAGCCAACATAGCCAAATCAGACAGTTCCAGAACCCAGAGAGCATTTGGTCTTAAAAAATAAGGTGACCAAGGAAGACACCAAACATCAACCTCTACTCTCCACATGCACACACAGATGTACACGTGAAACACACACACACACACACACACACACACACACACACACACACACACACACATACACACTCACACACACACACACACACACAGAGAGAGAGA